GCCGAATTTCCCACTCCAAATATCCATAAACACAACCCCATTTACCAAGGATAGAGATAAAAACATCAAGGAATCAAAACCATTGATTAAATAGTGCAAACTTTGTCATATTATCCTTAATTGTCAAAGTTACAACTTTCCTTGATTCCCTTCTCACATGGCAGGAATTAATGATCCATATTAAGCCAAAAATCCCAGCCTTTTAACCTCCTTTTCCTGGTCAATGAGTGCTGCCCACTAAGATTAATAATACATGGATATTAATCACATGATTTGTAGGAAACTAAAGTGTAATTTCCCTTGTTTTGCATTATATATTTCGGCCATGAAGCCTTGTAAAGATCACCTCATTTTCATTATCAATATTACTCTTGAAGTATTCCCTGAATTGGTGTGAAGCTAATTCAATCCATTTCCTAATGAAATATCTCTAAAGTTGGCCACTTTTGAGTGTGTGTTAGGAGTCTATTTAATACTTTAATAGTGATTATTATTGTATAAAATAGATAATAGCCCCAAATATATATATAAAGAGTGTGTTTATCTCTTACATATTATTTGGTTTATCCTTATACAAAAACCACAAAACATTTCCCTTCTTTTCTTCTAATCCTGGTCCTGAACCTATAAGTAATCGATTATCATTGTTTGATAATCGACTATTGTAGCCCTCTGATTCTTCTTCAAAATCTGCAACATCACATAATCGATTGTCTTGCAGTGTCAATCGACTATCTGGTTCCTCTAAACATTTCTAGTTGAGCTAAACACTAATAATCGATTTACCAAATGTGCTAATCGATTATTCCATAGCTCTGAATCCTGAGTGAATCTGTTCCTGTTTATCTATCCTAAGTTTGGGTACAACATTTGGTATCAAAGCTTGTTGTTAACATCTCTAAAGGACCAAACACACTTCCCTCACCTTCCTAATCCTTCCTTGATACTTTATCCCAAATACATCACACAAAGTCCACAAATCAGCCCAACCAAACACCATGTCAAATACCACTCAAAACATGACCCATGAAGAACTTGTGGCTTCAAATGCAGCCCTGCAAGCTCAAGTTGATTATCTAGCCAAGCAAATAGCCAAGCTCACTAAACAAAAGCTAGCTATGTTGCAATCCAGTGATGATGAAGAAGAAGCTAGTTCCAGTGCCACCATAAGAACTAGAGCTCAAGATAAGTCCGGTTCTGATTTCAAAGTGGATATTCCCATCTTTGAAGGAAAGAATGACCCGGATGAGTTCCTTTAATGGCTGGAAACAGTGGAAAGAGTATTTGATTTCAAAGAAGTATCCAACGAGAAAAAGGTCAAGATTGTAGCCTTGAAGTTTCGGAAATATGCATCTACCTGGTGGTCCAACATCAAAACCAAGAGGAGTCGAGATGAGAAACCCCCGGTTGATACGTGGCAAAAGATGAAGACTCTCTTGAAAAAGAAGTTCCTACCTACTGAGTACGTACGTGAGAATTTTGCTAGGCTTCAAACGCTTAGACAAGGTTCAAAATCTGTCGAGGATTACACCAAAGAACTTGAAGAACTCTTGCTAAGGTGCAATCTGCAGGAGAATGAACAACAAACCTTCGTAAGGTATCTTTTTGGCTTAAATACTCAAATAGCCAACACGGTTGAATTACAAGGTTTCAACACTTTTGAAGAGCTCACTAAATTAGCTCTTAAAGTGGAATCCCAAATCAGGAAGTCCAAAGCCATTTTCTCCCGAACCACTTCTTCTTACTCAAAACCAACTTAAACTCCACCAAAATCCACCTCTACTACCCTGGGCCTACCCCAAAATTCCAAAACCATACCTCCTTCCAAATCATCTTCCACACCATTTTCACCTAAAACAACCCCTCCAACCAACAAAAGAGCTCCCGTTTGTTACCGTTGTCAAGGTACCGGTCACTATGCCAATGAGTGCCCGAACAAAAAGGTGATGGCCCTTGTTGAATATGATGATGAAGACTTTGACCACTCTTTGGTTGAAGAAGAAATATCCGAAGAAGAAGAAGAAGAATGTGTTGGCCCAGATGAAGGCGAACTTTTGGTCATCCGAAGGACCTTAAGTGCGATTCCTTGCCCCGAAGAACAACTACAACAAGAAAACATATTTCACACTCGTTGTACAATTCAAAAGAAGGTATGCTCCCTAATCATTGATAGTGGGAGTTGTTCTAATGTTGCTGCCAAGACCATGGTGGAAAAGCTTAATTTAAGCTTGTTTCCTCATCCTAAACCTTACACAATTCAATGGTTGAATCAAGGTAAAGGTTTACGAGTTGATACCCGCTGCTTAATTTCCTTGAGCATTGGC